AGGACTTAATTTGTATTGATGATTTAGAGGTTTATATGAATGACAAAACCTCTAATAATGAATCAAATGATGTACTCATTGATTTTGCAACAACACATATTATCCTGTAGGATAGACAATTTTTTACTAAAAAATCTTTAACTTGGCAAACTAGAAATTTGATGACCATGGCTGGAGCAAATACATTTCATTTCCAAGAAGGAGCAACAATGGTATTATTGCTTGTAGGCTCCATCATAAAATATAAATATGTAATATTTGTGCTCTTAGCATTTTGTAGTCTGATCAGCTACAAAGATATACATGCCAATGGTTATAACCTCTCAACCACCATTCTAGATATGCAAGAGGTTTTGATTCTTGCACAAAATCATAAAGTTGTTGAAAAAGCCTTTACTATGATAAATAGTTTATATCAAATTATAATCCAACTTTTCATTATATTTAATTTTGCATCATATATCACAGAGAGTCACGTTTTTTTTTGGCATGGACATTGACACATCCAAGATCCATATTATTTCAAAAGATAATTCTATATATAATTGGGCATAATTTAAAACTTGTAAATATAGATTTTGTAGAATTATGTTGTTCATGTGTACAAGGTATGATGATTGCTTGGTCTTCAATTTGGGAACTCCCACAAGAATTACCACCAATGCTTGAAAGATTGCATAGTGATATTTGTAGTCCTATTAATCCAATATTTGGACCATTTTATTATTTTTTGATCCTTATTGATGCATCAGGAATACAATCACATGTTTCATTATTATTGATAAAAAACATGATGTTTGCCAATCTAATATCTATGCTTATTCATTTTTGGGCATATTTTCCTAATTATACTATCAAAACATTGCATATGAACAATGCAAAAGAATTTGTATTAAAGTCTTGTAAAGACTATTGTATTGCAACAAAGATTGAATTGACATATTATATTCTATATGAACATGCTCAAAATGGACTTACAAAGTCATTTATAAAGCATATACAACTCATTACTTGACCACTCTTTTAAACAAATTTACCTGCATTTATGTGGAATCATGCAGTTTTGCATGCTATAACATTAATATGCCTTTGTCCCTCTTCTCTTGAAATTATTACATGATAAGAACTCATTTTAGGTCCTTTCCTTAATATATCTCATCTACATATATTTGATTGCTGTGCTTAGGTTCTAGTACTAGAATATCAAAGGCATACCATTGAAGCTCATCTATAAGACGACATATATGTTGATTTTGATTCTCCAAGTATTATTTGTATTTTTAATCCATTAACTAGCACATTATTATGTGCATATTTTCAAAATTGTCATTTTGAAGAGAATGTATTCTTATCTCTTGAGGAGGAGTATCTAATCAAAAAAGAAATATAATACTTCTATTTGAAGCACAAGAAAAATTTAAAATGAATCCTAATCCTAGAACATCTTTAGCTGAAACTGAAGTTGTCAAGATTTTGTATCTAAAATAGATTGCAAATCAAACACTTGATGGCTTTAATAATATGCCTTAGATTACAAGAGTTTCTATTAATGAGGCTCAAAATGTACCTACTCAAATTACAATACTACTAATTAATATGCCTAAAGTTATAACATTAAAAACTACAAAGACTCATGGACCACCTAAGCAACCATATAAAAAGAAACCTATAACATGCGCTGATTCTAGTATTATTTCTGTAGAAATTCCTACTAAATCTATGGGACCATCAATTAATGATGATATGTCCATGTAATTTATATCTTTACCTCATGCAATAGAAAATCTTGATATTAAGAAGAAAAAAATCAAGTTGAGTACAAAATTATTTATTCTATATTGTGCTACAAATGACATTTGGCATAGTCCATCTATTACAATAGATGAATCATTTATATGCATGATTGTAGAAGTTCTTTCTTATGAAGAAGAGAATCTTGAACCTCAAACCATTGAGGAAGCAATGCGTCGCTCTGACTTGTTAAAATGAAAAAATGCCATCAAGAAGGAGTATATCTCTTTGTGTAAGAAAAAAATCTTTGATCCAATTGTGGATACTTACATATCACCCTACAAGATATAAGATGGTATTAATATGTAAGCAAGATACTAAAGCTGAAATAACTTGTTATAAAGCTTGTCTTATTGCCCAAGGATTTATCAAACAATTTGGCATTGATTATGAATCTACATATTCTCTAGTCATAGGTTCAATTACATTCTCATATATTATTGGAATAGTAGTCCATGCCACTCTTGAGATGCATCTCATGGATGTGATAACTACATATCTATATGATTCTCTTGATGTAGATATTTATATAAAAGTTCTACGTGGTTTATACACAGAAACTCCAAATGTATCTACTCTAGGACGATATTGTGGTATTAAATTACACAAGGCCCTATATGCTCTAAAACAATCTAGATGCATGTGGTATCAATATAATTGAGATTATTTAATTACAAATAAGTTTGTAAGTGACCCATTAATCTTTTTTTTTTATCAAATTAGATAAAATTAGTTTTGTGATTATTGTTATATATGTTGATGATCTTAATCTAGTGGATATTAGATCTATATGCTTTATAGCTACTAACTTACTTATCTATGAATTTGACATAAAAATTCTAGAAAAAATAACTTTTTGTATTAGTCTTCAAATTAAGCATTTTATAGATGGTAGCATTTTTTTCTACTAATTAACATATATTAAACAAATCTTACAGAGATTGAATATGATTAATGCTTATCTATTGTCAACACCAATGATTGGACATGGTTATGATGGTGATGATATATACCATCCATGCTAGAGAGAAGAGAAAAGATTGAGAGATTAGTATCCATACCTTGCAGTAATTAGAGCACTTTTATATTTAGTCACATCTACAAGATCAGATATTGCATTTTTAGTGAGTATTCTTACAAGACATAGTGCACGTCCAATACTATGACATTAGAATGGAATCAAATACTTATTTCATTATTTAACAGGTACTAAAGACTTAGAAATATATTACACATGATCTATAGATTCAAAATTAAATAGATATTGTGAGACAAGATATAAATCTAATATTGCAACAGCTAAATCTCACATAGGATATGTATTCTTAAGACATGGAGTTGAAATATTATAAAAATTAGTGAAGCAAACTATAATTGCAACTTCATCCAACCATGCAAAAATTATTGCCTTACATGAAGCATCTCGAGAATGTATTTAATTACGATCAATTAATAAATTCATTTAGACAACGAGTAGACTTTCCTATGATGATTCTCTAGTTATTTTGCATGAAGATAATAGTGCTTTTGTTGCACAAATGCAAGTTGGTTTCATTAAAGGTTACAAGACAAAGCATATTGATCCAAAATATTTTAGTTACATCCATGATTTGATTATTAATAAAGTACTTAAGATCAAGAAAATTGAATCTATAAATAACCTTGTTGATTTCTTCACCAAAGCTCTCCCTTTTTACAACCATCGCCAACTTACTTATGACATTAGCATGTGGGGACTTGCTTTTCTTGAGCAAGAAAGTTAATGAATTTTTTACATAATTAAGAAAAATGAGGTTGTACTCTTTTTTTTTTTTTTTATCTATGGTTTTTGTCCTTGAATACAATAAGATTTTCTTAGATAAGGTTTTAATGAAAGAGCAGCTGTTGATCATGTGAGATTACAAAATAATATATATTATAATTCTATACAAATTTTATGTTATATAAATATTATGACAAGTAAGGAGGAGTATTGAGCATTAAATGTAGCCAATGCATTCCATAACATTCACTATAGTTACAATAAATATCGTAGCTATAGTATTTAGAATGTAGTAGGGAGAAATTGTTTTTCTCTCTTTTTCTTTGTATATAAGTGAGACAACCACATCAATACATAGTTTTGTTTAGAAGCTCTCTCTCCTTCTATATACTTTGTGTGTGTATGTGTGTGTGTTTTGTGTATGTGTGCACATTACTTCTAGCTACTCTTGTATCTCTCTAAGACATTCTCAACAATATCCCTTTCAATCACAAGAAAGGTTAAGCTTTTCACAAATTGAATATAACCCTAAAACTTGAAAAGCCTACCTTAGATTCACCTTCAATCACACAATGGGCCTAGCTCAAAATCATATTTCTTTCCATCCTATATTTTGCATGTGTTGTGTAAATCTTTTCTGTTGGTTTTTTAAAATGCAACATTTGTAATATATTCATTATATATATATATATATATATATATTCATTTATCATGTTATATATTTTTCTAATATTAGGTTCTACATATTATAAATTTAAGATATCCTTTGATTTTGTATCAATTTTGTGTTCCTTTGCATCACTCACATTTACCCTGAAACTATTGGATCCTTCCTTCGCCTTATATTTAAGACAAGTCAACCTTTACTAGGATTAGTCGACTTAAGCTGTTCTACCTAATTACGATGACAAGAGCCTTAACCCAACCAACTCAGCAAACTAAACTTGATTTTCCCACATTATTTTGACACCCAAGGTCATCGCTGCTCAGCCCGCATGCCTAGATCTAACAACCCTCTTCAATTGTCTAAGGCACAATTTGGACAAATATTAAGGGTATGTACTCATGCTAGCATTCGGATGCCACTGAAGAAAGTTCAATGTTGGCCATAACCTGCAACTAGTAAGTGGTCTTTGCTGGTGCAGGCTCTCCTCTGGACATGCCGGACAAGACTGTAACTTGCGAGATGAACAAGCCCCTTGTCGATCATGGGCATGCTGGCTATGATTTGAGCCTACAACAAAATCGGTTGCTATTTTTTCTGTACTCTTTCATGCTTCTAAATGCCGAGAACAGTTTCATGCTATAGAGTTCACATGGTGGTAGAAAAGTCAGTTCGCTTGTGGAGGATCTGACTGTTCCTGACAAAGCTAGAGTAGAGGTTTATGCACAAATAACACAACCATCCAAAAGAAAACTCCCACATCAAATCCATCTCCCACAGATGTAGACTATAATTATCATTGTTGTGTGTAAACTCGATTACTGTGGACGGCAATTACACCACACTTCGCCTTGAGTGCATTAAAAAGGAGAAGCAAACTACAATGATGACCAGGCATAAAGTAAAAATGGTATCGAAAACTTGAGCGCGCCATGTGCTGAAGCACTAATATATCAATCCACGTCAATTTCTAGACCGCAGAAAACATAGATCGGCGTCATCTTCTATCACGGAAGACGCAAACATCTGGGTCATCCTTACATTGAAACGCACTTCATATCATCCTCCACGTTCATCGAACAAAAGCTTTGGAGCAACAACCTTCAGCTGACCCCAACCAGAAAAACAGGACTTGTGTGCTGAATTCTGCCTGGCTTTCCACCACCAGTCGCACTATACAAATAACACTCAGCCCCACAAAGTCCTCGGCGCCTTCACATGGGCACATCCTGTACTTCCTGCACTTATATCTAAAGTATCGACAGTCGCAAACCAGGTCAACACCCAGCAATGTCAACTAGCGCATGTAACTTCTTACCTCGTTGATTTACAACACCAGTGAAGACCCTCTGGGACAAGATTCGCCCCCTTGAAATCTGCTCAAAGGCAAGGATACTGCTGTATCTAACGATGATCACCTAGTCACACAGATAACGGCCTAAAGAGAAAATAGATCGGCTGTTGCCTAACTTTCATATCTCATACAACTATAGCCTGGACTGTACAAAACGCAGCCCATATTTCTGTACAGTTCTCCCCATTGTCACCTCTTGACGAACCTTCGCAACAGTTTGGAAGGATTCAACTTCAGAAACTCATGTATTGACCATTTCTCCACTTTCTCCACATCAAACCCCTCAGTAGCCACACAAACCGTAGCAACCCCCCCCCCCAACTTCCACCACCATTCCATATTAACACTCATGACCAACTCTAATGCTCTGGGAGATTCTCATGCACACCGAAAACGAACCAGACAGCTCCCAAGGCGTGGGCATCTAGTCCTGCGTCTTTTTGATCAGCCCTTGTGGATCTTCCTAATGGGATCAGCCCTCCCCCTCTCTTCTGCTGCTGCAAGAATGCGTCAGCATCTACCTCATTGTTTGCAAGATGTCAACAAAGACCGGACAACGTGGATAACAAGTCTCAAATTCGACTGCTCTCCTGGAACCGTCGTCTGGTCTCCTGAAACCGTCGTCTGCTCCATTTGTCGGAGCAAGTTCTGGTGAAGCTGATGTAGAAAGGGTCGCATATGGGGAGCCAGCAACGGATCATCGGGGTTCAGCGCCAGTGCTGCCTCCCGGATCCAAGACAGCTTCCGAGTTGTGTCTTTGTCCAAATCGCAACCCAGCTGCTGAACTAATGACAGCAGTACTCCTTGACTCAACGGTAGTGGGACTGTGCTGAAAAGATGAGCCTCATTCAACTGCCACAATGGCAGATCACTCGCACACATCAGTCTCTTCGCATCCAGTCATATGTTCTCTGAGATCTCACTTCATAACACCTACCGACCAACCACAATCCTACACACCATTTAAACGCAAACTAAGCCATACCTGCATACACAGCCACGAAACAACTGCTACGTCGCTCAAAGACAGAGCCTTGTTGAATGCTTCTTCGAGCTTGCCCTCCTTCAAAAGTCTGATGAGTTCGATCGTAGGATCCAACGTCTCTTCCAGGTGCTGCACAGAAAGCACCTAAAACAAAACGAAGTAAACATGTTAGAAAGAAAAATTCCCACCAAACACAACACACACAATTTTATCACCCAGGTCAATTCTCGCTAGGGTTCAACGCATGCATGGTCACGGACCTTGTCAGGAAGCCCGCCATTGATCTGATTGTTGGCAGGCTGAGCGCGGGCTGCATTTGCACTCGCGTTCTCTGCAAGAATCATAAGTTTCTTCTGGCCATCTGCTAATTCTCCCTTCAACGAGTCCGCGAGTCTGTTAGCCGATGCCACAGTGTCCTGCACAGTACATCAAACGAAGCCCGCTCATAAGCCTCCAACCGTCATTGCGCTGCATGCGATTGAAAACATTTAATCTCCATACAAATTGCCCAAACATAAACTCCAATAGCACTTCCAGCGTCAAGAACCAGGCAAACCTTCAATGTGGAAGCGAGGTCAGAATGAGACGACAGAAGCTGCTCCTGAGCATGCTGAGTGTATTCAGACATGCCATGCTGGAACGATGACTCCACTTGATCAAACATGGTTTGACATGTCCGCTCGAAAGATGGAAGAACAGTACTTTCAAAGCACGTTCGTAACGCATCCTGCAAAAACACATAAACCCCGCCCAAACGTTGCCATACCACATCAAACTCATTAATGGTACAAACACAACACAATCATGCCGACGGGCTGCTGTCTCTCTATACACGCTTCTCTAATCACCTGCAAGACTTGTCGACCAATCGTTTGAAACAGGGTCTGTATCTGCCGGGTCACTGTTCCCTCCAACTTCGCGCCTACCGATTTCTCCAGGTGTGGTAACATTTTCTCTGCAGAACCCTATAATGCACGATTCCCACCACCCAAACCTTCACTTAGACCGTGTAGCATAACTCAACGTCAACCGTGACTAAAAACTATCCCAGCTGCATCATTTCTTGCACACAAATAACATTGCCCTACAACTGTAATCGGACCGTTTCGAAACCCGTCGCAAGTGCGCGTTCACAACACAACATGAGGAAGCTTAGATAGTAATAGTAATAGTTCAAAATACACATAAATCACAAGAACTATGCCCTGCGATCAAGTTTCAATCACAGCCACCTGAAAGGACTCGGCCACAATTGCCGCAACCGCTTTATGCAGAGGAGGAAGAACCGCCTGTGCCACCACTGGACCAATCGCAGCAAATTCCTTCTTGAATCCGCGTTCCAAAGCAACCGGCATATCTTTGCTCACAAAATTTGTTAACATCATCGTCACCTGCTGCACTCTCTCACGCTCTTGCTTCTCTCTCCGTACATTCTCTTCCGCTAACCGTGCCCACATGGCGTCGACATGTGCTTTTAACATCTTCTCCATCCGCTGCCCTAGCGCAACTGAAAACAGCATCCAACGTTCGCGTGTTCACAAAAAACAATAATTCCCAATGCACCCGTAACTAACTACGGCTGCAAATTGCATTTAGCCACAAGTACAAGGCTTGCCTAATTAGGCACTTCGACACCACAAATGTAATACAACACCTAACACTGCAAGTTGGTGATTAATTAGGCATCGGAATCCATCCACACGAACAACTACGTATTACTCTCCGATCGCAATAAATAAGCAAATAAATAGGTGACCCTCCGAAAAAGACGCACGTTCCAAAATATCCTTTTCCACAACAAAGAAGAGCGTACCTTCCATCCGCTTGCCCTCCTTCTGAACAGGCACAGCCACCATCACAGCCATCTGCTTCTGGATTTCTTTCTGCATGGTCACCAACTGTCACAAGCCCACGCCAACTTACCAACGTTAACATTTACACTCTTCCTCACTGCTGAGCCTGCTACAAAACCGTCAGGTGCAGGACTTTGAAACAACCAGGTGTACAATGAACCAGGTCAATAAAACCCGCTTCAACAACCAATCCAAAAAGCATACCTGGTTCAGTGACTCTTGCATTGAAGCCACTTGCGCCAGGAAAGCAGGGTCGATGGCAGCAGGAGCAGTGGAAGGTGCTGCGGCTGCCATCGGCGTTGACGATGAAACTGGATCTACAATGTGGCTGGTTTCACCTTCTGGCTTTAATCCAGGCCCCAACATACTTGACACCTGAGAGGGTATTGCAGAACTAGACCCAATACCACCCACGTTCGTCTTGTTCTTGTTCTTCCTTCCCTTTACATTTGCTACCTGAAGTAAAGGCAACTCGCCGCTACCATCTCTGAAACTCAGCTCTCTCAGCCTGTGGTTTACGTCCTCCGTGTCAATCAAGAGTCGCTCCTTATCTTGTGAAACTTCGCCCTCTTCTACCTGTGAGTTCTCTCCTACATAAAGGTCTATGCCAACCTGGGATACCGAGTGCTCTTTGCCCACGTAATCATTTCCTAAAATTTGAGTTGTCTCTAGAGACTCTAACAAGGAGGATGACAGAACCTCCTTCCCACTGATATCATTTTGGACAACTAAGATATTAGATTCCACTACCTCCTTCTCCATAACCACGCTGGAATCCTCGCCAACGAACCCATCGCTGCTGCCACTACCCTTGGATAGCAGTTTCTTTCCATCCTCGCCAATCTGTTCTTGATCAGGAATTGATAGCGGAGCGTTATAGACTTCAGAATTCTTTGTCCCAGCTACCAAGTTCATCAGTTCTGAGGGAGTTATCAAATGAAGAACTTGATGGAGAATTCCAGGCTGAGATAAATTCGAGGTCTTGGCACTGCTACTGTCTGCAGATGCGTCCCTGTGTATTTTTCCCGAAACTTCGTCTACAGAGGTGGTGCTTGAATTGGACTGCGCCATGTCCAGATTCGACACATTAAGGGGTGGCATCAAAGAAGATGCCTCCGGTATAGTCATGTAAGCATCCTCTCCCTTCTGCTTAGTTCCCATCGAGACTTGGTGCGAATCGGGAACCCTGACTGGGCTCCTTGACCGCGATCTTCGCGAGGCGGAGGGTTGCGCACTGCCTGCAGCTGCCACTTCTGACTTGCCGGACATTTGCGCCAGGAGCTCTGCACTTGATGAAAACTCAGAACTAACCTTCCCGCTCTCCTTCTTCTGTGACTTTGTGGAACCTTGCAACAATGCATTGAAGTCCATTGATATGCTCTTCTCCACGTGATGTGCAGGTGACGCCTCCGGCCGACCAAATTCCACCGGACTTCCGAAAGACGAAGAGACGACCGGGGTTCTAGCAGGAACGCTCACGTTGGTTGCAGTGGATGTCACCGAGCTCACAACAGATACAGGTCCAGGCCCCATGTCTATCAAGTCAGGGACGCTGATGTTCTCCGACCGGTCAGTATCCTGTACACCACGCAAAACCGGGCGTTCACGAGCTCCTGGAGTTTCAGGCACAATGTCATCCACAGGTGGCAAACACTGTGACACGTCCAGGTCGTACTGTTGGATCGCCTGTGTCTGAACACAATAAATCTGGACCTTCCCTTCTCCGGCCTCGGACACACCGTCCTCGGCAACTGTCAAGCTCAGAATAGTCATTTTTACAGAAAATTCCGCCAGGTAGTTCATTCGTGCAGCCGCTGGGCTGTGCCCAAATTCCACATGAATCGCATATATGGCATTCTTCTTTGCATTCGCCAACAAAATCAGGCTAGCACGAGAAGCTAAAACCATCTGATTAAAAATCGCATCCCCGTAGTTTCCATCAACGACTTCCGAGCTCTGAAACTCCAATGTTTGTATGCATCGCCAGGCTCCTGTGCCTGACTTCGAACGTGGATCCTCTGAACTACTTATTGGCGCCCACAATTTCAACTCTCTGTTCAATGGCCCCTGGAGACAACGTATACAAACAGAATTTTACAAGTGGGAACACGTCCAGTGCATCACAATCGCTTGCTGCATCGGACGCTAAACATGATCGGAGCAACCTTTCACAACGCTCGCTGTATAGTCTGATGCTAAGCACACAAGTTTGGACGTTTCAATTCAACGGAAAGGAACAAGGCAGGATGAAACCTACCGCAGTAAGCAGAACGTGATGGTCAGGACGCCGCGGTGCTGACAAAAAGGCAACTGCGGACACTGGCTCTCCACCATGAGGCACGATACTCAGGAGCGGGCTTCTGCTGTTGTCCCCCCATATGCGCATCTGCGCCGTGTAATACAACCAACAATTCAATCGTGAGCCACACATTCAAAATACGCGTACAACTGGTAATAAACGACACACCACATTAGCTCTCCTGCCCCGAAGATCAAATCAATTGCTCCCTCAATGCTATCAGAACTTCGAATTACAACACAGGAAAAATCTGTACCGTGCCATCTTGTGAGACTGATGCCACCCTGAAGGTGGAAAACGATGGAACTGCCAAATCCGTCACAGTACCATCGTGAATGCCAACCACATTCACTCCATCTACTGGCTTCTCCACGTGACATTGAAGAGGTTGGTCAACGGAAAAACCTCCTGGAGGTGCAGCCTGCTGCACCTTACCTACATCTATGTTCAAGACATACTGCCCGATCGCCACCGCCAACACATTCTGTATCAAACATGCGAGACATTTCACCTTCAGTGACAAAGCCGCACATACGCAACACAAACCCTCTCGGCAACGAATGTATACTTCATTCCAAGACACCAGATAACAATTATGTCATCATGTGTCGATGCCGATTAAGATAAGACGCCTAGTTCATGCAGAAAATACTAAGAGCAAGTATATATCAAATAGCGACAGCACTACATTTATTTTCATTCAACTTTATCCTTGAGACTTGCCTGCATTTGGAGATTCCAGCATACGCGTGGATGACATGATTTCCAGTCCCCAATAAATTCGATGGCTAGCAATATCTGCTCTGTGATGAGAACCTTGCCAACCTCGGGGGATGGTCCCTCCAGGATCCGTCGAACAAAAATGCGACCATCCACACTTGCACTGCAAGACACACAGAACACCATCAGAAATGACAAGCCTCCATCCGACGAATTAAATACCAACATTGTCCCGGATTAATTGTTCTATTTCTGTATGAATTCCATAAGCCAGTCCCTAGCTCTGGCAGACCCGCACCCTGTAGCTGTGTAGACCGTGATTGAGTTGGACACTGAAATTCACCACTCTGAACAACTGAATTTAATCTTCTACTAATAACACGACATTTCGTTGTGTGCAACGCCAAACTAAGAGAAACTCCCCCCGATATACGGACAGCACAAGCATGCAGGTGAGGTGCAGAGAGAAAACCTTGCAAGAAGATGCTGGTCCTCTGACAAAAACACCATATCCGTCACCCTCTGCCATCAACAAATGAAACAATAAGTGTGTAAACACGAAACAGCAACAACTGCACAACCATCTTACAGTCAACCACGGCATCCACTGCAAATAAAGCCGAATTCTTTTCAGTAATTGTCTAGTACCTGAGTATGACCTCGAAGAAGCGCTCTTAATGCAGTGTCGATGTTCAGGATACGAATCGTGCCTTGGCGCAGTCCGTAGCAGATGTACCTTTTGTTAACGGCAATCTGTCTCCCGACCACTAGATGCGGATCGGACCCATAAACTGTAATAGGGCTAACTTCCAACTGGGGCTGCGCCTCTCCAGATTTACGAACATCCACATCGTACAAGACGTGATCCCCCCACAGATGCCGACCGCGTGGTTTCTTGCCACTCGACCCCCTACTAGACGCGGTGGAAGTCACTTGGGAAACTGGAGCTGGCGGAGCTGTAGGCAGTGCCGGAGCCAGTGCAGGTGGAGGGACAGAAACATCCTGGCTAATTACCGGAGACGAACGGGGTCGTTCGGTGCTGCTTTGTTGGATTCCTGAAAGCAATGAACCATCATCGCTGCTGGGAGCTTCCGCTCCGCCATGTGTTGTCAGAAGAGCCATGAGACGGGCGCCATCCAAAGGAGAGGTTGATGCCTGGTTTGGGCCGCCACTGCCTTGAGGCAAAGAAGATAAAGAAAGAGATGAATGAGGAGGGTTGCCATGTAGAGAGCTCAGGGAACCCGGAGAGGGGAACTGGCCCTGCTGTTGCTGCTGTTGTTGCTGCTGCTGCTGCTGCTGCTGGTTGTAGGGCGCAGTATTATAGTTTGACGGCCGCACTCCATGCTCCTGCTGATAGTGTATGTATGGGTGGAATACGTGAGGTTGCCCTTGTTGTTGCTGCGCACTATACTGAAAATTTTGGGGTGGCATACTTGGAAAAGAACCAGGGTTGGTTGGAAAACATCCTGGACTCTGAGGAAATTGACTAGGGGGGTACGGGGTATGAGAAGGGTATTGAGGAGGGGGATATGGGCTCGGAGGTTGCTTGTTGAAGAAATTATGAATGTCAAAACCTCCGGACGGTCCTGTGGCGCCCATTATGTTCTTATTTCAATAAGGAGCTCCTGGACTCTTCACACTTTCGTTTCTGCCATCCACAACCAATAAACCATTACAACATCTAGGTAGGTAACGATTCATTGAGAGACGGGAATAACATTAGAACCCAGGACCAAAGCCTACTGTCTTACAAGACTAATTACGATCAGATGGGAATTCCGCAAGCAAGGGCGACAAGCATATCTTGATAAGGATAGAGATAAAGCTTGATCCAAGCTATCCTGGACCACCGGCCGAATAAAAATTACAGAATAGGGGGTTCCGCTATAGAAATATTGACCCAGCAAAGCCTGAAGTACAGGATATGCTTTACTGACTGCTAAGTGATGATCCAGTGAAGGCCCTTGCAGGAACAAGCAAACTAACTTATGATCGATAGGCTCAATGACAACGTGTAACACGGAAGTGTGAGATTAACACTCGAACCATCCCCAGAACATCAAAAGAACCCTGTCAGCTTCCTCGTAATGAAACCTCAAACCCGCTAATTTGTTGTAGTTCACGGCAAGATAGAACCACCACAAACTCTACTTCCTGGCACGACAAGTAATACAAACGAAGACAATGGACAAGCCAATTTTACTAAAACGCACCCTAAGTTTTCATTTCCATAACAGCTTTACTATTCATGGAGTGCATAAGTAACCTCAAAACCAACAATAAAACAGAAAGGATTGCATTCATACTACTGCAAACTTTGATAACACTGCACATGGCTGCGTTGTCCCATAAAAATGCAAGATTGAATTTCAAATCAAGATAAGATTACAAAGAAATAAACACAGGCTCACAGATACAGAAAGAAGTTAATAGCAAAAATCTCGACCCAATTCGTTTCCTTCGGCGCAACAGTAAGCTTTGCTACGGGCCCTAATTTCCTTGTACAACCCACAAACACGCCAATAAAGCCCCCGACCAATCAATCAGCATCAACATCCATGTCAGAAACCCAAAAACTGCCCTCGACCGACGACCTAAACCCCGCCACCCCAAAAATTCGGCTTCCGCACTACCCCCCAAACACCTCATCCACCAAGCCCCAAAAATCCAAAACCCAAAATTCCCAACCCTCCTCAGTCACATGCCTCGCGACGACTATGGATCAAACCATCCACACGTCTCCCTCTCCCGCCCAAACTCCCAGCGAGCTAAAAACCGCTCAGCCACCTGACGATCCCAACTGGATACGACACCTACAAAAAAAAACGAACGTGTCCGCGACGGTGGTCTAAACCTCACAAGCTGCTGTTGCTGCTCCTCCTGCTATTGCTGTCACTCCTACAAAAGCCTCCCCCAAAAACCTAGCCGCTGCCGTCGGTGGAGAACCCAGGGATTGCAGACAGAAGTCGAAGCAACAAGCGCAACATGACACGCGCAACGAGAAAAGGGATCTGCCTGGCGCTGCCTTGATGGTGGGCGGGCGGGTGAGGGAGAGGATGCGATACTCACTTACTTACTGCCTGCTTCTGCTTCTGCTTCTCTAAAGCAGGCCAACGTCTTCTTCTAGGAGAAGGGCATCATCATCTTCACCAACATCATCGACTGTGCACTTATTCCTCCCTTCTTCTTCCCTTCCTTCATTCTTCCTTCCCCTTCCCTGCTTTCCTTTCCTTTCCTTTCCTTTCTTTTCTGCGCCTCCTTCCCCTTCTCTACCTCTTCCTTCTCCACCTCCTCTTCCTTCTACTGCTGCTGGTGCGTTGAGCAGCTCCCCCCGTCCTTTTGCAAAAGTCCTCTCGCAACAGGGTGTGCCGGGCGAGTGGGGCCCATTGTAGTTTCGGCGCTACCGCCACGGGGGGAATCTCGGGCGCGGGTCGGGTGGGGCCGCGTTGCCGGCCGGGTGGCCCGGCCCGCGGCGGAGTGCTACAGTCTGATTGATTGATAAACTCAAATCCTTTTCCATCATGTGGGGCCCATTCCCATTCATTCTATTTGGTATTTGGGGTGTGTGAGAGAGAGAGTGAGTGAGCAACAACACACAGTGCGTGCAGTTCGTTTATGGGGCTTTGGAAGTGAAGGGGGGGGGGGGGGGGGGGGTGATGAACACAAGCAGCGCATTGCTTACGAGGTGCGGCTTCGTTTTTTGTGTCCCCATCCTCAGCCATTCAAACCGAGTTGCGTAGGCCTTGGGAGAAGCTACAGGAGTTTTGAATTTGTTGTACTAGTTGTGCAAAGATTATGTGATTGTTGGTTGTTGACAAGATTTTGGTTTGTGTGTCCCTTCTGAAATTCTTAATCAACCTTTTCACTTCAATTAGATCTTTTAATATCTTAGTATGTGAAGTGCAATTCTAGGCCAATCCTTTATAAGTCAAGGACATAAAAGACAGTGTATTAAATTATAATATATAATAATGACCTATTTTATAGAATTGTAACTATTGTTCCAACACGTTCTTAAAAAAAATTAAAAACTAAAACTAATCCATTTTATGTTAATATATGTAACTTAATTTGACTAAATTTGTCAAGAATTTGATCAAACAAATGCTTTGAGTTTTACATATAATGTGTGTTTTAAAGTTTTTAGAAATTTGATGCTACCCAATAAATAGAAATAACCAAAAAAAACAATAAACAAAAAAAGTAAAAAATAGTAAATATTTCATTTATTAAACACCTTTTTTTTTCATGACTACATAGAATATAAATCAATATATCTAAACAACAAATTGAATAAAATAATAAATTTTATAAATAGTCCATGCTATTAACAATAATGTTATCAATGCTATATATTATCAAATAGGTATAGTTTTTTAATCTATATAAGAGAACATTATATCTCCTTATTTTTAACCATAAGTTAATTGGTGTCATAAAAAGATAAAAACTTGTAAAGATTTGACCACCCTTCAACTACTCAAAGCTTTGTAATGCATTCCAAATAAAACCTTGAGTATGATATAAATGTTTATTTGAATCTAAAAGTGCTAATATATACGTGTTAAAAATAGATATTCTCTAAATTGGATTCATCTTTAGGTTTATAAAAACCAATAATATACACAACAAAGCATACGTACTTATTTTGATTATTTTTGCATTACTAAATCAATCCATATTTGTTTTAGGAATACTGAAATTTTATGTTGTAATTATAAGAATATATTTTATCATTTTTATAAAAAATAAAATATTTATTTAATAATAATTAATAGAAAATAAAAAAATATTTATTGACTTAAAAAACATAAAATAATCTATCTATGATGTATAAATTAATAATTTGAACATACTTTGTAATTGTAATCTAAGATTGATTGTATTAGCTTTGAAATATTTCTAAATCCATAAGATTGGTTACGATAATTGGTATTTTTTTAATCAAAATTTGCTAATATATGTTCTACGTTAAGATTCACTTTTGTTGAGATTTGTGTTTAGTATATTTCATGAATTAAAATGGTATAAGATTAAAGCCTAGATTATATTTAAATTGGAATTTAAAGTAAAAGATGATAAATTTATTTCAATACATAAAGTACATAATATTAAATAATATTGATATATCTTACTACTTCGACTTATTTGATAGTTAATTTCCTTATTTGATAGCAAAGCAATCACTCAAAGTTATAACAGCTAATATATTGTATTTTTTAATAATAAAAATATTTTATAAAGTAGTCTTACTTAATTTAAAAGAAAATTAGTTGAAGAAGATTTTTTCTATTTGTTTATTGGCTAGCTAGATCTTAACAATATTATATTATAATTATATATTATTTAAAGATGGCTCAATTTATACTCTCAAATGCATGATATTATACTTTATTTAAAATACAATTTAAAGCATCAAAATTTCTACAAATCCAAGAATAATATTATCTAAAGAATTTTAATTCTATAAATAATTAGCTACATATTTAAAAATATTTAAGTAAATAGTTTAATTTCTTGTATTATATAACTTAGCTTTATTGTAATAAAATCAAAGCTATATTTTCCAAAATAATGTCTAAAATCAAAAATCTCAAATATATTTTAATGACAATAAAATTTGAAAAAATAAAAGCATTGAATAATAGCTCTTAAATTCGTAAAATTCTCTAAAATATAATAGATAACATTTGTTGTCTATTTATTGTAAAAAATAAATAAATTATTAATAAATTTTTAATATGCTTTATAAAGAGTTTTATTTATAAGTAAGAACTTTAGATGATTGCCAATAGCAAAAAATAATATGATAAAAGATGTTCTATTGAATAGTTTTAAAATTTAAAAGATGTGCAACTAATTTATATATTAATATGCAAAATAAGATCCTTGGATCTAAACTTAGTTCTAGTAAAATGACTTAGCTTTATATTTCTTGAGTTGAGTTGTTAATCAAATTTTATTTGAAAATCATACAAAATACTACCACTATAATATGTATCAAATATTAATATAATATTGACATGTCCAATTATTGTGCTTATTTTTCCAAATCATTGAGAACCATGAAGTTTTTTTTTTTTTTTTAATTATGGATAAGGTTAGAAAAAAAAAAAAAAAAAAAAAAAAAGAAAAAAAAAAAAGCTAATTTTTGTCAGTAGAGAAGTACAAGATTTATTAGAAATAAATAGTTAAATTTAATGGCAAAGCATGTAAATTCAATATTTTTTATATTTATTCTATCCCTAGTTGGAATCAATTTCATTTAAAAACAAAATTTATTCATAGACAAGATTAGCAAACATACATACTTTCTCATCCATTTAATAAATTTTATAAATAAACAATGTTCTAACTAATATTTATCTCTATTATCTATAATATGCAACAATTATATAATTTACACAATATCTTTAACACAAGAAAGTATAAAAAAAAAAAAAATTGAACATAGTCTTTGATCTAAAAAGTATGATGAAATAGATAAAAGGTGGTAAAGAATGTTATAGAAAAAGGATTTTAACTCCATTATATTAGTAGTAAGGTATAATTGAATAACACCAATTGAAACCTATTCTAATTATATATATATATATATATATATATATATATAAATTGTAACTATGAATCAAGTTTATTAAACAAAAGTGTTTTTTTACAAGTCAAATTCTAAATTACTGTAGCATCATTTTTAGAGTAGATTGTATCCACCTCACTATCCCTAATGATCATAAATTATTAGAAGCCTTTGTATAGAAAAGGTCATATTTGTAAAAGATATTAATTGTTAAAGGGTCAATTATATGACATTATATTAGCTTATTATTTTTTTTGAAATGAATTATATGTAAAGAACAAATCTAAGTAAAGAAGTTAATGAAGAATTCTACAAACTATGAAAATTTTAACCAATCCAATAAACTCAATTATACGATAAAAATAAAAACTAAAAATACACAAGTTTTAAGTGCTTAAAAGGGCTAAAGAAGCTGTAATTGTCGAAAAATTGTATTAAAATAAAAAAAAAAATAACTACATAATTGTACCAACTATAGTTTTGTATACATAATAAAGAAAGATTAGATAATCTTTTCAAAATTAAAATATAAGCTAAAATCATTTAAAATAAATACACATACTTCTGTTTTTTAATAGAGACCTAAGATTTAATATTTTCTAGTAAATAAGATTTCTAATAAATATTTTCTAGTAAATAAGATTTTCTAGAAAAAATTTACTAGAAAATATTAATATACAATTTTTACTATAAAATATTTTATATTATTTATAATGCATACTTATCAAAATAATTTGTAATCATTTTTCGAATTCAATCAAATTTAGAGTCAAATCTATTGTTAATCAAATGTGTTACAGTTACAAACTCAAATAATAGTTGATCAAATTTATAGCTTGTAATATGTTTGAGGTTTATAATATATATATATATATATATATATAGAGATTATAGTATATGCCTTTCTAACAAAACATAATAAATAAAGCACGGATAAAAAATTATTGACAATTAAGTTATATAATACAATTGTAATATGTTCAAAAAATAACTTTTCATAAACTTTTTTATTTATAAGATAGGATAATTTATGTTAAAAAAATTCATAAATTCTTAGAATTGTATCTTTATTATTTTGAGATAAATTTTCATCTTTAAGTGTAAAGTTGTAAAAATCTAGTTTTAATAAAACTTTATCTATACTAATAAATATAAAAATAAATTTCAATTTTCAATTTTTTTCAATATTTAATATTACAATATCTTGTTCTTATATTACATATCATATTTGATTAAAATTTTAAAAATAAAGTATGAATGTTTATATTTTATATTGTTAGTATAAAAAATTCCCTACATAAGTTTGGATTTGATATACAAATGATGAATACACATGACAAAGATGATAATGAAATTAACAGAGATTTATCATAGATTTATAAAAACATTATTAATAAAAATTATATATTAATTGTAGTATATATTGTATAACTATTTTAAATTACTCCCTATGACAAAAATTAAAATTTTTAAATAAATATTAAAATTTAAAACTAATAATAGTAATACAATATATTATAAAGTCTTATAAGACTTTTTTTTGAGTTGGTAGTATCTGTTCCAAAAATATAACAAATAATAAAATAGAATAAAATAAAATGATTATAAATAAATAAAAAATCATCATGTGTACATATATAAAAATGTTTGTAAAATAAAATAAAATAAAAATATATTTAGTAATATTATTAATAATATTTATCAATTTTATTATTTATATAAACTAAGACGACATTTTTAATATATTTTTAAAATTTAAAAATCCTATAAAATAAATTAATATTCATTCACTTACTTTTGAAGAGTTTTTTAATTCTACAAGTTTATTAATAGAATGCCGAGAAGTAATTCTTCAAATAACATTAAAAAACAGGTTTGTGATCTTTTTTTGTTTAGGCAAATCTATTATGAATTTCGTGAATGTTTTTACTTTTTTATGACTTTTATTCGACAAAATTTACTTATTTTTAATGAGTTTTAATTTATTTGCATATGTCTCTGTTAAATTTTCAAAAACAATTAGCTTATAATTGTAAGTGATGTTCAATTTAAGGTTTTGTAAAAAAAATCATTAAAAGTGTTTTTCTAGAATCTGGCATCAAAACTGAAATCATTAAGGATAAAAAGTTGAATGATTTCAGGGTAGAATTTTAAAATAAAAATCATGTCAAGACCTTAATTCAAATAACTATCAAACTTGAAGATGTATTTTTTTAGTTGTGACATAAATAAAGTAGTCATACAACTAACTATAGAATTGGTATGTGTAGTATTTACTTAAGTGAATAATAGAAATATTTTGTTGTAATCATAACAATCAAGGATAAAAAATATTGATGTACTTTTGTTATTGGGCTTCCGTAAATATATCAAACTGGCTACACTTCAAACTTCACAGTATCAACAAGAAATAGCCCAGTCTTGTAACGTAATGACTTTAAAAACCAGATCACAAAGTTGCTTCAAGACCATCCCCCATGGCTATGGCTTGATTCTTCCAGGGCATTTTTCCTTGTAGCAGCTCAATACATACATAATAGGGTATCAATTCTCAAACCATATACCGACACAAACCAATGTAATGTAATTTTCACTTGGGTACTTCATTAAGCAATGGGTCTAATTAAGTGAGACGAGATCTATCTAAATTGATGGCATTCAAATGGAGTTTAGACAACAAAACGGCAAGATGACAACACTCTACTGTTCTGGAGGATAGATAAGTGAACCCATGTACACAGACAAAGCATTGCCAAGCAGAAGATACAAAATGTACATGTGAGTGCAGAGATGAGATGATTGTCGATTTTCTAAGTTTGAAAATAAATGGTCCTACATGTATTGTACAAGTATATAAAAAGCTATCTCTATTGAACCAACTTGTCTCGGGGTAATATATGGCCTATGGTTTTCAGTAGCTGCTGAATGTCGAAAGGCTTCCCAAGGTAGCCATCCATACCATGAGTTAAGCAAGTGTCTTGGTATCCTTGAATGGCATGCGCTGTTAATCCTAAAATGGGCACCCTTGACCAGCCACACTCCAGCTCCGCTTTGCGAATTTTCTCGGTTGCACATAATCCATCCATTATTGGCATCTGCAGCACATCTCCCCTTCATCAGTTGTACAATCTCAAAAAGCAGGCACAAACTGAGTTGGGTGAATCTCAACAACTGCGGAAACTGGAACCTGTCCAGAAATCTTACGCACTACATGTAATGCTCAGGTTGTATATCAGAAGATGTCTCCTCATTCTTCAATAGCATCTTGCTATGTTTCGTAACAAACCAAAACGACGTCTACTTCTTAAGAAAAACTGACCCAATGAGACCATGTTGAACCTCACATAAACAAAATCGAGGCCACAATGAGCATCTGATGATTGTGAAACCATGGCCGACTAATATCTGGAAACCATGTGTTTGAGGTTTAATGTTACGCAAAGCACTGACACTCAGGTGCTTCACAGCCCACACTATGCAAGAATATTTTCGCTCATGCTGAAGACATCACCGTTCAAATAGAAAGCAACTGCGTACCTGCACGTCCATGAGGACGAGGTCAAACTCGTCATGCTGAGCACAAATGACGTCTAGAGCTTGCTGTCCATCACCAACAATCCTCACAATATGGCCGTGTTTTTCAAGCTGCCGGCTCGCAACTTTCTGGTTTATGGCATTGTCTTCCGCCAAGAGGATCTTCAGATGAAGTTTGCTGTCTAGTAATTTCTCCATCTCTGTCGAGGATTCCCTACTAAGGTCTGAAGGTGTTGTAGATGCACCTTCTGGTGGATTCTGTTGTGATCTGCATGGGAATGTGTCCATTGCTTGAGTGTCTCCAAGTGGTGATTTGAGCTTGGAGGGGTCTTCATATAGAGCAACCATTTCGAAGCCGTCAAGAGGTCTCGTGGTTTTCAAAGGCAGCAGATCCAAACTCTGCAAGGAGAGAACCTCCAGCGTGTCGCCTTTGGTTTGAGCAATTTTGGGAACCGGTGCAATGACTTCATCGCTCAGGGCTTTGTCATTCTCTTTACAGTCCCAGTTTGGAACCTCGTGGACCTGAATGAGGTGTGCTCTTGAGTTTCCGTGATCGAAGTGATTCTTCGCATTTTGTGATTCTTTGTATGCATCGTAGTCTGAGTCTAAAGCTCCCCGTGGCCGAGGACCATCACCATCTATCTGCGTTAATCCTTGAACACAGGGTGATCTACAGGTCCCGTTGTGTAGAGAGTACGAGTTTTCTCTTTGTTTAGAAATAGCATCGCTTAACATCGAAAGATCCTCTATAGAAATCACAGTGCTGTCTGCTCCCTTCCACATTGCTAGGTCATTCGCAGATTGCACTCTAGACACATTCTTCGAGGTGCGACTCGGAGGTTCAGAATCGGGATGCACTGCTCCCATACTATAGTCTGAACCAGGGTGGTTGAACATCAAACCCCCCATGAGGGTCCAGGATTTATGACTAGCTACCCTCCCTGCAAAAGTAAAAATGTCTCAGTAAACATACCTGGCGCGCAATAAGTTTGATACAAACTATCAAATTTTAGCGCAAAAGAGGACTAAATGAAAAAGGAAACGCATGTACTGTCACGTAATAACTCTGACCATGTCTGCAGTATATATAAATAATACAGCATCATGGAATTAGAATCATGGTTATTGCAAACAAACCTGGAGATCTCACTTTTGGAGATGCTTCCGCTGAGCCCTCTTTAGGAATGGGATTGTTGAGGGATAGGGGCAAGCAAAACTGGAAGGTACTCCCCTTCCCCAATTCACTTTCAACCCAGATTGTGCCACCTAAAAGCTCCACGAACCTATGAACTATACAGAGGCCCAGACCAGTACCACCATAGAGGCGAGAAGTGGACGCATCGGCTTGAGTGAAGGGCTTGAACATGTCCTTCAATTTATCCGGGTTGATTCCTATTCCAGTGTCACAGACCTCGAAGTGAATGAGCACGTTCTCAGGAGCATGAACCAAGGTGGATCTGTCAGCAGAAAGCTTGTCAGCTGTCGCTACACCCATTCTGTTGCTGATTCCTGGTTGACAACCATGCAGGATTGTAAGATAAGACGGCTTCTTTATTTTATTACTATACTAATTTTCATTGTTTGGTTCAAGATCAAATAGATTATACAGAATGCTTTGCAGCTTGAGATGCGTTAACTTTGAATTCTTACCGTCAGGTGCAGTGAAACTGTGGCCTGCTTTCATCAGTGAAGCCTTCAGATTGTCGGAAGCCACTCGGACGTGTACAGACACAGATCCTTCGTGGGTGAACTTCAGTGCGTTACCGACTGCAATCGAAAACCAGAAATTGCTATAGTAAGGAATAACAGCACCTTCAAACATAGATTAGCTTTCAATTGAAATCAAAGGCACCGAAGAACAAAATCATTCAGAAGATCGAATAATAAATGAAGAAAAAGTAAGAGAGAAACGTAAACATGTAAACACGAGACAGACTGATGAAGAATGATTCCCAACCTAAGTTCAACAAGCATTGTTGGAGCTTGCCGACGTCTCCAACAAGCGAATGCGGTACATTCCTGTCTACTTCCCAAAACAGCTTCAAACCACGCTCTTGAGCTCTAGCTTGCAGCATCCGAAATGTACTAGACACCATTTTACGTATATTAAACGAAACTCTCTCGACCTCCAAACGACCAGCCTCGATTTTCGCAAGGTCGAGAACGCTGTTGATGATGTGAAGCAAAAGATCGGCACATTCTTTTACTGATGCAAGACTCTCTTTCTGGTCGACAGTAAGCTCAGACTCCAGAAGCAACGCAATCAGCCCTAGAATTCCATGGATCGGCGTCCGAATCTCGTGACTCATATTGGCTAGGAAATCGGACTTTGCATGGCTCGCCATTTCCGCCCTTTTCTGTGAGGTTTGAAGCTCTTCATTTGCTTTGCGGAGCTCAAGTGTCCTCCTGTCCACCTTGTTCTCGAGTTCTACGTTCATGTGATGAAGGGTCCAGGTCAGCATCTTCTTCTCCCGCACTGCCGCAGCAAGTGTGATGCTTACCACACCCATTACAATGCTGAACAGCTGGATCTGCATAATGCATGAAAACAACGTCTCTCAGATGCATAGCTTAAAATTTAAAAAAAAAAATCAAGAAAGCAAACTGCATGCCCTAAATCCTTGAAAGCATGCCGTTGTGAGAAACGAAGCCCTCGGCTTTACCTGAAGAATGAAACTTGTGGCAGAAGGTGAGGGTCGTCCCGTCATGGCGTACATCGCCCCACGCTTGCGAATACTCCCCGTGGCGCACGAAAACGCAACAACAAAAACCGTAAATGCCCATCCTACGCGGTTAAACCGGAAGGCCGTAAACGTGATGAGAGGAAAACAAAAATACGGTAATGGCCGGAAGAACTGAACGTTGAAGAAGAAGATGGTGATCAAAATCCCGACGGTCACCATACCAGTCACCGCACACTCGAGCAGCTTCGCAGGCCGCTTGAAAGAAGGGCAACATTTCCACGCCCACAAATGGATGATTAGTGGCGTAACGGTGATCATCGCCGCCAGTACACCCAACCACCACGTCCCCCAGAAGCTCCAGTATTCCGCCCAAATGACCATGGGGGTAAGAGCGATACACACCGAGATGATGGAGCAGAAAACAAAGGATGTCAGGGTGACAACGAGGAGGTACCAGACCGCATCCGTCACTGAATCTATGGTGGGAATTTCCTTCTCCTGGCCAGTACACAAACACTTGCGGAGGTAATGCGCCCCAACATGGCTCTGCATCGCTGCGAGAATCGCAACGAGCACCATGATCGTCGTGTTGACGCTCGTCAACCCTGACCCGCGCCATGTCATGTACATCCTCGCTGCGTAAAGGCCTAATGTACTCCCTGGCAGGATTCCGTGCTTCCAGACCGAGGCTAAAGCGAGCGCGACAGCATGCGGTAGATAAAACGGAAACACGATGGACACATGGACTTGGGCTTGAAGACTTTCCACAGAGCTCTCCCAGGTGATGATCCCGCTCAACAGAACCAGCAAAATGGTAAGGACATTGCGTCGAACACAGCGGTAGATATCCCTGGCGTCCCGAGGCCGGTCTCTCCATATTTGCACAATTGTGTCAATGCAGAATTCAAAGAATGCCCTTGAGGACTGGAAGAGACCTCTGGCGTGGGTTTCGTACCAAGATCTGTTGCTTCTTGCCGGTGCACGATCTTCGACGTTTACCCCTACCGAGCCCCTCCCGTGCGACGGAGGATTCATCTTCGTGGGACACGCTACGTCTTCCTTGACGATAAGCACATATTTCTCAAAACCCGTCTCCGAACACTGCTGCTCCTCCTCTTCATTTTTCTTCGGGTGCGGATCCAGCATCCCAATCTGCGATTGTCCGAAGATCTCCGCTCAACGTCCTATCTTCCAAATTATTCTCTTAAATCACCCGGCGACATCCAATGCACTACCGATTCACACCCTGTCTTCTGTGGTCGTACCAAAAGTATCCATTCCCTTCGGTTCATTGCCATCTGTCTACCCTCCACAAGGTCGAATGCACTCCAAACTTCAAACAGCGATTCGACTTTCTCACAGACAAGACCCATAATCGGACTAAATGCCAAACGCAGACACAGGCTGTAGTGTGGCCAGTATCAAGTGACGCCCTTGCGTCTGCACGCCCTAGCCCAACTCACCGTCAATCGAAAACGCCGAATCTCTCGACGGGCTACCTCCTCACACAACATCTCAAGATCCCGAACTCCGACTAACCTAAGACCCAAACTTCCCCAACCACTTGCTGCTCACCCCGCTGCAACCCCTTCCAGGACCCCGTACCAGTCAACCAGCTTTGTCGGTTGCGATCGATCAACTCCAGAACTAGAAACGAAGGTTTCATCGTGTCAAAGCACATCGTCTCAGTGCAACGGGAAGTGAGTGTCGCGCATGCATAGCGCCACCTACCTCGATCGCAAACCCACCAAAACCGCTACTTCGCATATTCCTCCGGTCTCCACCCCGAAAGCTGCGATGATCTCCAGCCTCACCCCCACCCGCGTCCCTGAACAACACTCTACCTCCAACTTCTCAACAGAACCCTCGGGCCATCATCACCAAGATGTCATGCCGCACAGAATCACTTGCACAGCACCCACTCTAGCGATGCGGCCGCACACCGATCGTCTCTCCGGCGCAGGACCCGATCACCGATCACCCAATACCCCCACGATCCCCAAGTCGTCGAGCTCAGATCGATCATGTACACGGCAAGTTAGTCCCCTCTCTCTCTCTCCTACCCCTCTCCGCTTACTTGGCTCGCTCGTAACACAATCTAGCGATGGCGTTGGGCTGTTCCAGTGCGAGCAACTCCAGCGTTGTGCTGATGCCACGCCTCCCGAAAGCCTCCGCCAGGAAGAACTTGCACCTTGCCAGAATATAGATCCTCACCCACATGGACATGGACCCCACTGCTGCGCTTTTACCCAATGGTGGGGCCTGCGTGAGCGCCCAGACTCCATCGAGCGGAACTCTGCAGAGTCCAGCTGCGACTCCCCGATTAGATATTCGGCATTAGAGAGATACTCAAACTTTTGTTCTTTTCTTCCCATTTTCACTGTCGCCCCCTCGTTCTTTTTGGTGTCACCGGTTAATGGATGACTCTAGGGGTGGTGAAGTGGGATGTGTGGTACCCTCTCTGCTCTGCTCCACGCGAGCATTCGGCGCTCGTCGATGTGTCTCAGACAGATGCTGCAGTGATCTCCATGCACGTTTTCATCGACATGCCGTTGAATGGGGTGTTTCTTGTGCAAAAACCACAAGTAGGGTGTAAACTCAACTCTAGCTGGAGCCTTCAGAAGCGGTATAGGTTGTTTGCTTGTGGAATGACACTCCGTTGCATGTGGAGTTGTGTTATTAATAGAGAGGGGGTTTACACAGTGTGGCGGTCATTCCAAGGGCCGACTCTACCACCTAGTTTCATTTGGTTCACAAAGTAGGACATTTGCCCAGTTGTGCACATGAGATAACGCACAACAACCCCCCTTCAATCGCTTCATCGCGATTGAAAGCCTTGCAAAGATGTCCGTTTTAATGTCAGAAATTTAGTGTAATTCCAGAAAAGTCATGCAGTTGCTATCTTTTAAATACCACACCTGTTTAGATTTGTATGTGTTTACATGTATACATGACTGTAAACTTTTATGTCAAGATTGCTTTTGAGGATAAGTAATTGAAATCTGGTGGTATTCATCCTTTGTTATGTGTTGTGCAGAACCTGCCTGCATTTCATAGTCAATCTGTAGTTCATTCTTTATTCTTTTTATGAAAAGTACTGTTTTTTCTTATCTTGTTTGCCAGCTAAGTTGACCAGCACAAGTAGTATGAGTTATCCTTAATGAGGTTCAACTTAATCACCCCATGCAAGCACCGACTTAGAACATCTATGTGAGAATTTCTTTTAAAAATAAAAACAAAAAAATACTGATAAAATAATAATATTTATTTGGAGAAGGGGCTGTGTTGTGTGTGTGTATGTGGGAATCACTGTATCCACTAAATTCAGAACAAGTCATCTCCAACTTGCAATAAACAATGGGTCTGCTCCCATTTTCTAAAATATAGCAAGTTCACACAGTGACCCATTCGTCACATCTGGAAATGTGAGGGCATAGCAGCCTAGAAAAATGCATACAGGATTTGGCTGGGTGTCCAGTTCTGTGCAACTTGCAAGTCACTTGGACTTTGCTCCTGCAAACAGGGCTGCACACAGGCACACACAAATTTAAAATGTTTATCTTTGTGTAAATAATGTGTGTTTGTGTGGTTGTGTGTTTGTTGTGAACCCCCTTCTAAATTTGCAGGCCACTTTCACTTCTATCTTAAATGTCATCTGTTTCATTCAGGCCAATTAATATATACTATTTTAAATTACTCCCTATGACAAAAATTGGACTATCCAGGTTGGTTATTTCAAATCCCCACCATAAATTTTTTTACCTTACCTCATGCCAATTAAACTGTTTGATTTATTTTATTTTATTTTATTTTTTCTTTCCCTATAATGTGTTCATGTAAGCATATATATATATATATATATATATATTTATTTATTTATTTATTTAAAAATAATCCTCAAATTATCAAAATTACAAATTTACAATTTTAGTAATTGGGAATCAGTCTCTTTATCTGAAGATCCATCACACATGGATCATGATGAAGTTTTTTGTATTAAAAAGTTGCTACAAAGACAAGTAGCATTGAAATCCTCAATGGAACACACTTATGGTTCATTGGCAATAGACACACAACAATCATGCAAAATAAACAACTATATGTGTATATATATAATATCTCTTAGTCATATGAGAGTTGATCAGCAATATGCACACTCCAATTTGAATTGTGAGACAATTAAAAACAGTCTACATGATCATTCCCTTGCATACCTGGCAAAGCTATAAAGGAAAACTGAGTTGTCCACTTTCTGAGGTGTGGACAAAGTCCACAACATGATAAAGGATCTCCCAGGTAAACAAACAAACCCACTTCCATTCCACCAAACATTCATCTCCCAGTTGCTGAATTCAATGAATGAATGTATGAATGAATGACTTTTTTTACCTTTTTCAACACTGTACAATTAACCCCACATCTGCACACATGGCAAATTTTGTCCCAAGGGACACACCCAGTTTTGTGGTTTTCCTGAATTCAATACCTGTCATGCTGGACACCCAAGTGAACTTTGCCTTCAAATGCAGATAATGAAACATCTTAAAGGTAAATATATATATATATATATATATATATATTGAAAATATATAAAATAGGCCTCCACTTGTCAAGTTCTAAGGTACAGAACTCATTCAAATCCACCTCAGTCCCACCCTGGGAAATGGTTCAATACACTTGGGAATGCAGCCCCCCTTTCAAGCTTACATTAGCTGAAGCAACACTCATCAGTTTTTCAAACCCTGTGAAAGACTTGGCCAGCATGAAGCCAAGTGTCAAGACCCCCCTACAACTCTGAAGGAATAAAGCCACCCACTGCCTGAGATCTTGCATATCATCACCCCAATAACCCACATTCATAAAATCCATGTGAGTTTCTGTGGGCATTGAATATGTGATATAACAAAAAAAAAAAAAAAAAAAAAAAAAAAACAGAGCAAAACGAAACAAAGCAATGATGGGTAGAAATCATGGATGAAACCCTAATTTATTTATTTATTTATTTATTTATTTATTTATTTTGATGGGTATGTGTGGCATCATTGTCGTCCATTTGGGTTATGTGTTTTGGAGGCCCCCACCTTCCTTCCTTCCTACCTTGACAAGTGTTGAAGTGCATATCCTGTGCATGAGAGAATGTGAATGGGGTTTGGGCAAGTGTGGCCATGGCATGTGTCATTCACTACTTGGGGGGGGGTTGCATAGTTTTGTGGCATGGGTCAATGATGCTGACTTGGCACTTGGAATGGTGATGTGGCATTTGAGTTTAGCCTGATTTGGTGTGTGTTGCCGTTGGAGATGTATCAAATCTTTGATGGTGGGTGTGTACAATAGGAACAAGTGGAGCCCCATCTTAAATTTAACAGTCCATATCATTTTCATGTCCTTTTTGAAGATCGCAAGGAGAAAAAAGTGTGCTTATAATGAATTTGAGCCATAATTTGATAAAATAAGAGATAATGTGAGAATCCAAATATTAGGTAAGCATGTATGTGTACTTACTATAAAATTTACATTCTTTTATGGTACTATCAATACTATTAATATTGTCCTTTTCATTGTTTGTACACTTTAAATATCATTGTGAATGATTGAAATGCCATACAAGTTCTTTTGTTTATTATTTGTACTATTATATATTATTGAATATGCAGGAAATTGAACATCATCACATATGTTTTTGTTTTTGTTTTTGCCTAACTCAGTAATTAAAAAGGTTCACGACGATAAAAATTTATTTGAAGTATTGTACGTAGAGAAAGAATGTAAGTCCTGGAAAAATACATCTGTAAGATAATACCAAAAAAACTAATTACCCTTAAATTATAAATATATCAGCTTTTTGCAGTAACAAGCAACAATCAAAGGATTGAATAAAGCATGTCGTATAATGAATAAATGTGTTACAGTGTAATTGTTTTGGCACTTCTGAACAAACAAGATCAATAAAAAATTAAATATATTAAAGTCATTTTGTTAAATAGAAGTATTTTGACCAATCAGAATTTGTGAAATTAGTGTTTCGTATATATTATTCATAAAATTAGTGTTTCCTATATATTATTGAGTAATAGGGTCTGTTATTCACCAATAAATAAAATGACCTCTTTGAGATAATGTCATCAATAAAATGGTTGTTAACAATTTTAATTTTAAAAAAAATGTTTTTAAATGCTGAATATAACTGTTAACTACAATATTGCCAGTGTCATCACATTTCAGAGGCATCATACATGTAATACTCAGTATTTTTTCTATCTACGATGTTTTCTTTCAAATTACCAATACATGAAAATTGTGGATTTCTGAAAAATGATATGTTTTGAAATGTATTTTTACTTTTTATATAAACACACAATATTCTACTCAGGAAAGTCTACCTCCTCAGCTATATTTATTCATTTATATATTCTCAAATGCATCTGGAAAGAACGTAGATAATCTATAAATAATACTGGAGACAGAAAATTTCTTCGAAGATCTAGAAATATATACCCATTATATCATTTTTTCTGCAACAAAATATTCTTCAAGTTGAAAATAATACAGTTGCCTATTTTACTTTGTTTATTTCTAAATGCATCTTTTTGTAAAATACACATCCGGTGTTCTATTTTTGTTGCTATTTTTAGAAATTTGAATGGTACTGTGTCGCTAATTAATTTATATTACGGCAACATTTGACAACCATTTTTAACATTTGAATTATTTTATCAAAGAATGATTTACTGAATGTCTACTGTCTTATATTTATGTCAAATGTCTGCTGTCTTTTACATAGTTAAAAGCCCAACGAACTACTTAAAAGAAACACACAAAAAAAAAAAAAAAAAAAAAAAAAAAAGAAAGAAAAAAGAAAAAACAGAAATCAAGTCAGAAACTTTTGAAATGGAAGACATTGTAGACGGATCTGAAATTATATAATTGACTTAATATGATCTATTTCAAAGTTAAATTAAAGAATTTAAATGGTTTTTTCATGTATAAGTATTGTAATCTTTACGTTTCATCAGCCAGTTCTGATTTAAAATATTGTGTGCACTAACTGATTTCATAATTGCATTAGTATAATGATTATTTATTTATTTATTTATTTTTGCATTTGTGTTTCAATGTATTTATTGGATTTTTCAATTTATATGCCTAAATGTTATTCTACATCAAGTTTTTCATAACCATTAGGTTCAACATTAAGGTTTTCTTTATTTTTAATTTTATGCATGTCACCTTTATTAAAACGCATTAATGAATATGGAATTCTGATGTATCTGTACTATTGTAAATAATTTTTAAAATAAAGTATAATTAAGCAAATTGTCTCATCATACAACTTAGTTTTCCTTTTTTATTTTTACTTTTCTCCTTTTATGTTTTATTGTGGATTCACATTTCAACTCTATCTCAAAAGGATGGTTAACTTTTTAATATGTGTATAAAAAGACATCTTGCATTATCCTTAGGGACTACAAGGTATATATATGTATATATATATATATTCTTAGTGTGTATAAATATTTTACAAAGGCTTGTGCTCTTGGATTATTAACTATGCAATTTTAAAATAATCAAATCAAATCAAATCAACACATATGTGAACAGTTTTATATAAACTAATAAAATAGAAGTGAAATTTAGTATATATATATATATATATATATATATTGTAAAGAGTATTACATGCTTTGACAAATATAGGTAATTAACTCATATGCACACCACATGAACTATGTAAGTTGAAATGACAACAGCATTCTACACAACTTTTCAAAACTTTTTTCCCTGGATTCAATATCATGTCCATGTTTCATGTTGTCTTATGCACAAACATCTTCTAACAAGTCAACACCACGAGCATGCAAACACTCCTTTTCTTCACTAAATTGCATAATGAAATTTGCTACATTACACTTCCCTTCCCCCACTTTATTTGCTTTTCCTACTCATTTTGTTGAAAAAGAGACTAGAATTTCGCCACCCAATCAAGAAACTAGGACCATTAAAAAATGATAAAAAAATAGTGCGGGTTTTAAAAATTTATATCCAAAGTGAAAACTCTACACCAGGCAGTTTTAAAGGGAACATGAGGAGTGGATTCGGAGGATTCCATGGAAACACGCCGCATCTGTCGTGTCAATAGGTGGAACCCACGGTTTGCTTTTTTGGGCCATGACCGGGGGGATGACGAGTGGGGTCCTTTGATCGTGGGGCGTCCAGACGCACCGAGTCAAAATAGTAGGCATGGGAATTAACGGGCCAGCTAGCAGGCTGACGTGGACGGTGACGTGTACCAAAGGAACTCACCCCGCCCTCTTTCGGATATTTCCGTAGGATTAGTTCGTTTTTGTTTTGAATTTTATTTCAGCTGTGTAAAGTGCGGGACAATAAAAGGTTGTAAACTTTTTTAAATGGCTTGCTTTTCTATTGTTCGTAAGTCAGATTCCTAAACAGAGTGATGTAGTGCTCAATTCATATTGTTGTTTCGGCAGCTTGATTTCAGGGCTTAGAGTAGATGTTGATGTAATATTGCGCGAGTTACGAGCATGTGATGTTCATTTCAGTCGTGAGACTTTACTTATGTACTATCTGGTTTCTTGTGGAAACGCTGTTTCTTTACGTGGTTATGTAATGTGTATAGCAAAGGCATATACGATTTTTTTGTATCATTCAGTTAAACGTGGATGATCTAAGATCAGTATAACCAGGTTCAGATTCATACCAGCAAGTACTTACATGACTTGATGTCCAGGGTAGCAGTCGGTTGACCTTGCGCAGATCAATACGTGTACAAATGCACATGTTGCACTTGTTTGGGTTTTGGAATTGCAAGCAGTAAAAGGGTAAATGGACAAACAAATTCAACCAGTTTACTTTTGTTTCGCACTTTTGTTTGTCTCCATGAGAGGTTTCTCCAAACTTCAGCTCTGATACACAAGGAAACAACGTGTATTTGTCAGGAGTACAATACATGCTATGAACTTCCACACACAACAGTATCACAGCTCGATGGATAATTAAACTGGGAACCCGCGCACAAGTTGCACCGATAGTGAATATACCTCTTCAGAACAGCAATGTAATTTGCTGCTACTGAATCATTCATTACAATCCAGAGCATAATTCATCCACATCTTTATCTTATGCTAGGTGAGTGACGATGATCCAAACCGAATTTGGTTGGTAACTGTCATGATTTTTTTTTCTCGTGTACGGTGTGAAACTGACAAACCCTACAGGGGAGCAACTTCCATAGAAAAAAAATTGCAGCTTCTCAGATATATTGTATGAAGCAAGTACGCATTCATTCACTCACACCTCACAATTCTGGTTAGCTGCTATTATCAGCATTGGACCGTCATTTTCCTCCTTACTCCAACAAGTTGATAGCAGTGTTTTAACAGATATTGTGATGCTAACACCAATGAAAGCATGAAATCCTTAGCCATTGAATGTGGCGCAAAAAGACCAGTCCATCGCAGCATATCGTTTTCAGATGAGGTGCATCAAACTCACGTGTGATGAGGAAATTCGTCTGCTTCATGTCATATCACAGAAACCAAAAGGGCAATACAAAGCAATAGATACTCCAAACCAGGGGTAATGCACAGAACATATTGATGCAACAAGCGAGAGTATTAACAGCACACGTCGTAGAAAAAAATCAGCTCTAACGGTCAAATTGTAAGTGCAACCACCTCGTTACCTGCCAATGAAATATGAGATCTGTGCGAGAGTTCGAGGAAATGTTTCTCTTCTAAGTGAATGAAAGAACAGTCAGAATTGGTACCTAAATTGACCAGGAGCTGGTTCTAGCATATAACAGCAGCAGTCGCAATCGAAAAACCAGTGGACAAAAAATGGTTGCGAGAGAAAAAAACAGGAGATGATACATGGGCTGCGATGAGCTTTGACCCAAGATGTAGAAGTGGCATGCAAGAAATAGGATTACATTTAGTCGCAGATAAAAAACACCAGGCCCTGTCAACAGTTGCCATATATTCCAACAGAAGTGGGTTACATAGTGAAAGCTTGTGCGCTAAAGCAAAGCTCATACAGAGCACCACGAACTATCAAATATCAGTCTCAAACAAGAACTTGGCACTCTGTTGAAATTGTGGAACATGTAGGACCCGACAGGACACAACAATGTGTAACAATTACAGAACTGCAGTGTTACTAACACTGATGTTTTGGTAACTGTTGAAATCAGAAGGGCAGATACTTCTGTTTCACCCAAGCATTATCAGAGGCTAACGTCGCATTAACGTGACTTGGCAGAATGTGCCAGAACTTAAAATCCACGTGCTTTGTAACTAATTTCATGTTGGTAAACCAAGGTTCATGGGCAAACAGTGACCGTCATCCAGAAAGGTAACCAAGACGTGCAGACAAAACAGCAAGTCTCATAGGTGCAAATTGTCCTCAGCTCTCATAGCTACAGCATCAGCGGTGGTTAAATGGCAGATACTACCTCACACTGCAAAGGGTCGTGCAGTAGAGAAAGAATACGGATAGGGTAGTAAGAGAGATTGAGACAGAGGGATGAAAAAAGACATCAGAAAGGGAGTATCCGCCACCACTCTAGATCAACATGATCGACAGTACGTTATTAACATCACTGGACAGTGCACCAAGGTCCATTTTTGAGACGCCAAAGTTCTCACAAACATTTGGATATACATCAGTATCCCGAGCGTTACAAATCGTAAGGAACAAGATTTAACGTCAAACCAATCCTAATAAGTAGGTCTGGCATTCAAACAGGACTAAAAACAGTGGAATGCAGTAAACTCAGGGCATGATCAACTGGCCATTCAAAGAAAAGAATCAACCTGGACTATCACTAGGCTACAATCATAACTGAAAGGAAAACACACATGAAGAAATTCAGAGTGACCTTCGATGAAGCTTCCGCCATGCATTCACAAAATGAATCACAAATACTAATCATATTACTCGAATAATTCTCCATTCATACATCAATAAATTTGAAAATGAGGAATGCGGTCCTGTCTAGGAACAAATGAATCGGTAAGTTCCCAATAGGAGACTCAGACTCATGCGAACAAGTTAGATGAAAACACGAACAGTACACAAAGCGACCGTTCTTCGACTGAATTATTCCTGTAATATTTCCAGTCATCGAACCTCACTCTCGCACAAAACGACTCTCTTCAGAACTTAGTAAGCCGTGTGCCTTAAAACCACGACCACATTACCAATGCTTCCATTTTCGAGCGACAGTCCATGTTGCAATATATCCTCAGCTCTCATAGCTAAAGCATCAGCGGTGGCTTAACGACGGACATTGCCTCAAACTGCATACGTAGCTGCAGTGGACGAGGTGTGAGAGAGAGGAGGACAGAGACGATTGATTAGAAGACATCGAGACAGGATGGTGAGAAAGAAGGAAGAAAGGGAGTGTCCGTCACCACTCTAGACCAACTTGGTTACCAGGTTATAGTTCACATCACTGGAAATATTTGCAACATATTATTTTCATGACTTTCAACTGGATCCGCTCCCCAGAATCCAAGAAAGGAATATATTTCCATGTCACATGCAAAACCAACCTACACAAGCTGGAAGCCATGCACGGAAGAACTTAGAACCTCTGATGCCTTGCTAGAACTTGTGCCGCACAAGTATGGAAGTAATCGTAACCAAAGAAAGCACAAATTATTAGTTGAATGTCGTGCCAGGTAACTCAACGTGGGGCACCCTGTCTGACTCACTCATACAGGCCCTACCACAAGTATAAGCGCAAGGAGTAACCTAAGCGGACATACTACTCTTGTCCCCAGACAGTGACAATGACTTCACACGGAATGGGTTGACTGATCAACCAAAGAAAATCAAAATAAACAGTCGGAGAAGTTGTGTTCAAAATGAAGACCTTCCTCACCAGCAGAAAAATATCATAACAGTGCTACATCGCTGTCCATTGCAACCCAAACCATAGCAACAAAGGCATCGCAAAAAACTCACACGAAGTCTAAGCGTTGCGCTGCGCTGCGCAGATACCCGCTCTTCATCGGAAGATTCCCCTAGCGCCTTCATCGATTCATGCAGATTACTCATGGGCAGAAAAAATCAAAACTGAACTAATCGAAGACCAAAAGCCATATACACAACACAGGAAAGAATAAAACACAAGAGTGAGCAGCCATACCACTCTTATGCCAGTCTATCGTGGAGACCGAGTCGTGGGAAGGTAGCGTAATCAAGACGAAAGAACAAGAACCCGATGTTAAAGCCTCTGAAGATACCACAATCACGCTTATCAACATAGACTAGATCTTGAATGAGTCTATTGATACGGAAATAGGAAGAACTGCGGCATCCTTGCACCGTCAGAAACGACAATCACACTGACAAAATATTCGACCGTAGCACGATTCAGAAAATCCTCGCCGTTGTTTCGACATGCCCGGATGTCCAACTCCCTCGGCCGAGACACCGCCAAATTGCCAGTGCAGAGAAAACTTGTACAGGTTGCTCGTTGACAGATTCAGTAAACCTTCACAATAACAGTCATTAGCATCAGCATCGGGGGAGTGAAATTCGGGAAGAATCTTCAGAGAGGCTTTCGACCTAGAAGCCCGCAAGACGCAATCAACAGAGTGTACAGGAAGGAGCAACGTTGCTGGCGAAGGTGTTAAGTGGTCGGAAATCCACAAGCGGGGTAAGCGATTGAGACCATATCCCGATCGAAGGCATGCACAACAGGGAGGGTTTCAAAAAGATGAGAAACCCTACGAAGAAATCCGCGCTCGGCGTGCCGCCCTAATTCCCGATTGTGGCTGCGGTGAATCACAACGGAGCCGAAACCCTAATCGACGGTTTCACTGCAGACCTGTACCCGCGGGATTGCTATAACCACCTCGGACTGGTTCAGTTACACGGTGAAAGGTACTGATGTGTAAGACCGTGGTCTGACACAGCAATGGGAAATTTGTGACTGTCACAGTTGCTGTAAATTGTAGTTAATCTATCACTGTGGAGACAATTTCTGACAACTCTAGTTGATATTTTCCATTTGGGGGGTCTTTTAGTTGATGGTTTAGTTCAAAAAGTATAATAAATAAGTTGGTGATAATTCAATGCGTTTGATATGCGCAGGGTCATACTTTACGTGCAAAAGGTTACAACCAGTATATATAGATCATGGAACTAGTAGTTTCATTCACCCCATCCAACACAAAGCTTGTGTCAATCGTCTTCAACGATGAATACAATGAATTATTCATCCATCTAATCACTTGCACTTGCTAGCACCTGTAGAAAGTGTCCATTAATGTTTCTTCATTGTTTGTCACACACATGCGGTAAACATTTTAAGCAAAAGATAAACCTGTATACTATGACTTTATTTTTATCAAACGAATTCAAATGATGACTTAAGCCATGCACCACTAACTGTAGAAAAAATTACAAAATTTTGTGATAATGTTTGACATATTTATTCACGCACACCCAATCAATGATCCTCCACAAATTTGAAACAGCTTCATAGTCAAGCTTAAATTTTTCTCTCACCCCCCACAGAATCAATTGCACACCAACAGCAAAAGAGCATCGTAGAAAACCTGCTTTTCACAACTCAATTTGGTTAATGGGTTGTCCACAACAAAATAAATCCTATTATGACAAGCAAATGAGCAGCCACCTGGTAACTTATTCATGATATGGCAGTTTTAGGGTTTGAGCCAACATTAACCTTTGTGATGAAATAGTGTAGATGGATTTTGCCCCAAATCGTGTCAACTGATCCCCCAATTTTAAATAATAAGAAAAAGGAAAACTTTGAAAATTCTGTGGTGCTAGATCCAGCCACATCCTCCTCATGGGGGCAGAGGAGGCATTGAACGTACTTCATCAATACATGCACTCTCAGACACTGTAAATTGTACTGCTACACAGTTGTGAAAACCAGGTAGTACACTGTGAGTAAATATAGAGGAGGACCTAAAACTTTTCATTATAATATCAAAAAATGAATGAACAGGGGAGAGGTAGCAAAGTTGGATTGCAATGGAATTTGGTGGGATTTTGAGTGCCTGTTCTCTTCTTTTAACTTTTTGATTCAAGCTCATGTTTCGGTGAAGGGATTGAAACTGAGCTACGCCTATAATCCACACTCCCTCCAATTGAATTTACAGGACAATGTGACGAAATAGTATTTGATATCTAGATCATACATTATGGGCTGAGTCTAGAGCAAGACCTCTGGGTTTTCTGCCATTCTTACAGACAACAACTTTCAAAAAAGTAAAAATGTGTGTATTTGTGTGGAAGTAGAGTACCTTAATAAGAGCGTGGATCTAGGACATAGTTTAAAGGTCTTTATCATTTTGACATCATTGTGCTATTTATTTCATTATTAGTAACCTTTATGCTTTTTTTTACAACCCAGATATATGTCTTTTGAAAAAATATAACAGTTATTATTATTAAATAATATTAAATGATATGTAGACAAGGACTTTAATTTTTTTTTAAATCATCATAAATACTATGCTTTTGCTCATCACATAATTTGGATTTTGTGTTCACTTTTTGTATTAGAAATACAAGTGTAAGTATATGTTTAAAACTCACGTAGTAACTTTTATAAAATAATGAAAAAAGAAGATAAAAAGTATAAATATATACAACATATAAAATATTGTACATTGTTGAGGCTACGTAATCTTATTCTTGAAGAAAGCTGAAATTTATATCACTCTGTTTGAATTTGTTTTTGATGTGATTATTGTTAGATTTTTTAAAACTTGGAATCGTCACATATGTAGACTTTGCAACAAAAAAAAATTATAATTTGAAACTTTCAAATCCAAACAGCAGACATTACTTTAAATATTATTTAATATGAAGATGTAAGCTATCTTTGGTTGATAAAACCAATAAAAAGAAGTAATTCATAGCAACAAAATAATATTAGTGACAAACATTTAATTTTTCTTAGATATAATATATGTGCATCTATTCAACAATTATTTGATGAATGTTATTTTATTTTGTAACAGGCATTATTACATATAAATAATACAGAAATATTCAGTAGAGTTAATCTGCAAATCCTCTAAGATTTTTTTGTCATATAAATAACAATGTACAAATAGGTGAAGAAAATAAAATATGCAAAATAATGTGGACTAATCCAACCACGACAAATTCAGGCTACCCAATACACCCACTATTGACGATAAAGATCAGATTTTCACGATCAGATTTTGTTTCACCTCAAACAAACTACCAACTCAACCTCAGCGTTAAATAATTAAAATGAAAGTAGAATTCTTTCATTATTTTTCAAATAAATTTAATATGCTACTCAATTTGCAAAGACAAATCTCAATTCACGGGCCGTGTTTCAGGATATGCTTTTTCGGAAGCAAAGCACGGGACGTGGAAAAGCCAAAACCCTAATTCCAACGTGCGGCGGTGGGAATCGGTCCACCACGGGGATCGCGGGTACCACGTCAGCAGAAGCTTCGTTCGTTCCCCACAAAAGTGACGGTGTTCCCCAATCTAGAACTTTGTTCCCCATGATTGGCAAACCGGGGAACTATGGGAGCGTTGGCCACAATAAGGACGAGGGGTAGGAATTTGCTGAGGATTCATTGCCGTTACTGAATGACTGGCTCCAGTGATCTGGACGTGTGCGAGATGTGCATCCCATTGGTCAGACTCGATTGCAACGTCATTCTGGACCCCACGTTCTGTCCCAGCTGGCTCCTTGGATCCTTGCCCTGCTGGCACACCATACCAGCTGGGCCGGGCTGTGCCAGGCCGTGTACGACCCGGCCCGGCACTGCCCTTGCTCTCCACGGGATGACTAAAACTCATTCTCAGGACCTCGAAATGGGCCCTACCTTGTCATTCGACGTGTTCACACTTTCCCTGTCTTGGAATTAGGACTTGCCGCTCACCTCCCTCTTTGTGTCAGATTCCTATGTCGGTAAATAAAGGATCATGTTGATGCCTTGGCCCCATTTGGGAAAGTTCACGAGTGACTTTAAAGTGCACAACTTGCGCAGAAAAGATTTTTTTTTGTTTTGGTGGTAATGAGCATGAGAAACTTGCCTGATGAGAACAAAAAAAAATATTATTGAAAGTGATGCTCTAACAATGGTCAGGTGGTTTCCTTTGATACATATTAAAAATACAACAAATGGGGGAAAATGTATGAACTGGGTTGTAGATGCTGTGTGAGATTCTTGCTTGAGATGGGGCACGTTTGTGGCATGCCTTGAATTGTGAGATTACAGTTGTATCATGATGTGAGGTTTGTTTGTTAAGGTTTCAGTTGTGTTCTCTCAATGAACAACACATTGAGTTCATAATCTCTCTCTGTACATATGTATACTAGCAGAAACCCATGCAGTCAGGCACAAAAAAGTTGTAAAATTACTTGCTATGCAAATAGTAAATTGGAGGTATTTTTGTAGATTATGTAGGGCTTACTACTAATTAACAATTTCTTTGATTTTGCCCACTGAAAATGATTCTGTAGGTCTTTGTTTTATACCTAACATTTCATTCATATATATATTTTGAAGAAGAATTACTTGTTACCTGACTAAAGTCTTGGATTGTCACTTTTCAGTTGTGTTGTTTGGTTTTGTTTTGCTTTCTTGACTCTAGTGGGCAAATACTTCCAAAAATTGCATGTTCTTAGAATTTCATTTACAATAATATTAAAACATCAATGTAGTGACTAATATATTATCAATTTGCACATTGCTTGGACGTGCAGACAATTCTAGAAGTGTGAAATCAGTTGGGTTCAAAATGTAGTAGTTTAATATCACATTGTTTTGATTTATTCTCCAACTCCAAAACTTTAATTTGTCTCCACATTAAAATTTACACTGAGAATGCAGAAACCATCACTAAGGTTTTGTGCTTCATTGTTGAAAAATATAGTTTTATACTTTCATGATACCTCTTGTCCACTAATTCAACAGATGTACAATTATAGCTTGAAACATGTAAAAAATTGTAAGAATGGTACATAGTATTTTATGGCATAATTGTGTGTTAGTCATTTATTGTTTGACGATTATAGTGAAGAATGTTGATGTTACTATTATATAAGAGTGTAATGGATAAATAATTAATTATTAAATTATATATAATATCAATTCAATCATATTTTGTATATTTATACATTTCTTTTTTGTTATATTTTACTTGGAATTTTTACTTGTATAATTTGAAAGTTTTGCAAAAATAATTTAAAGTTTGATATGACATGAGTGTTGAATCTTATATCTTTATTTCTACATAAGAATTATCATCTTGTAATATAATATTCTCTAAGGAATTAAATTCGAACATTAATTTCAAAATTATTAAAAAATAATTGACAATAAAAATAAATAAATAATATTTTTACTTTTAGAATATACTAAAAATATATTTCAATTAATTACATAATAACTATGTATATATGAATGGTTTTAGTAGTAGTTACTATCAATGGTAGTTTAAAAATTTTACAAAATATAATTTATTTGTACATTTTGTAGAATTTTTAGAAAGTATTTTTTATGTCAAAGTAAGTATCTACTTCATATAGATTATTATATGGTATCATGGACATCAACATTGGCATTAATATTTAGGATGATAATAAGAATTATATAGAAGTATAAGTAAGTAAGTTTAATAATATCTTAGGGAGAAATTTTTTAGAAACTTCAAAGACATAGATTTGATTTTACCAGTATTTGTAGGTGATTGATAAGTTAAAAACTTAGCTAAGAAGTTATCTTTCTATTACATGTATTGATTATTTATTTTATAAGTTGACTGAATTTTATATATGTTGGCTATTTGTGGCCCAAATTAGACAAGTGCTACATATTTGAAAAACTTGCTTTGCAAGTTAGATATATATTAGATGACCTATAAAACATAATTATGTAGCTCTTTAGTTATATTATTTATATAGAAGTAAGAGTGAGGCCTTCTTCACTCTTATAAATGCCTTTCTTTAGTTCTTATTTTAGGTGAAGAATATCTAATTTCTTTG